ACCGGATTAGCGAGCTCACGGTTAGCGTGATGATTTGATCTTGGATGTAGTGAGCGAAGTACGAAGAACGGGCCCCTGGACTCCAAGCTGTCAGTCTGGCGACACAGACAGGCTCTCCTCCACACTGTGCTCATTCATCAGGTGCAACCCCAAACATTGCAGGTAACAGCTGGATTTTCCAGTTTCGGTGCAGCTAGCCAAATAACACTGAGCCAATGACCGCTAAAGACACAAACAGTGAAAGTAGACAGTATATCCTTGATTTCTTAACATAAAACTCATTAAACTTTAAACTTATTATTAGTTTGAGTGTCCTTAGGCTCCCGAGTTATTGGTTCTACTAGTGAGCTGACATAAACTAATGTAAGTCTACTGACTACAACAAACCAGATGACGACACATCACTGACACAAGACAGAGCTGAAGATGTGTGGTGTTTGTCTCTCACCTCATCTAACCTGTGTAGTGTTGATATGTATTTGTAACTTTCTTCTACAAACACAGAGTGTATGAAGACGAGAAAACAACTGACTGCTGAGTTTCCTGTTTGTGATGAACTGGTGAAGCTTGCACAGCGACACACAGACACATCTGATCACATAGAAACAAACTCACTACATCTTACAGCACAAGGGTCCGAGGGAGCTGATGAGTGGGGTTTGATAAAAATGGTACAGAGATGCAGGAAACTGTGCAGCCAGGGTAATTCTACTCAACTCATTGTGTTTATATAGCACCAAATCACAACAGTCGCCTCAAGCTTCCATCCGTCCTAATTCTGACTGGACAAAACTGTTTTCATAGAATACATGTTTCTCTTTCCAAAACTGAACAAAGCAATCGGGGCCATGACTAAAATCAGTGCAACGATACAAACACTGGGAAGAAACTGACATTCCAGGGGTAAAACATTGCAATGAGGTGTTTAGGACCCGTCTGACAGCAAATATTAGTGTTGTAAAAACTGTGCAGCTGCTAAAAAGCACTTCCATGCCAGTTGAAACCAGACTCTCCAGAACTGGGATATCCTGGAGTAATTGTGGGCAGCCAGTAAATCTGATGTGGGGGAAATGAAAGGTCGAGGTGACTCCTACGTCTGATTTCAGACCATGTGAGCATCAGTAAGCCTTTAAAGCAAGAAGCAGTGAATGCAGCTACGCATGCCACCTGAAGTTCCCAAGTGGCCCCCACACCATATTGGCACAAGTTTCACCAGAAAGCAACATTTTTTTTATTTTTCAGGATAAAGTGGATCCTGCAATTTAGTTTTGGTTTGCTTTGTTTTTCCAAGCTCGCATCAGATGTAAGACCTTCTCTCTGAAAACCATTGCAGCGATCCGATTCATTCCAAAGTGACAAAGAAATGTTTTGCGTATGACATCATATTGCTGCCAGTAGATACTCAAGTATGCTGGGAGAGGCTCCAGTGTCAGCGGTGACACGTGGGAGGGAACCGACTGAACATGACAGACAACAGTGGACAAAAAGGGCCAACAGGAGCCAACAGGCCTTCCTGCAAACAGTAGCAGCAGCTGGGAAGAAATTCTCACTTAACATGAGCTTGTAGGCCATCCAGACTTAACCTTGTGGCTGCCACATTCTGTGTCACTGATCCTTCACAAACAACCCAATCCCATCCTTAATCCACAGGGTTTAATATGTTGTCAAACCAACCTTTGCAGCTTTAACAGCCTCGACTCCTCTGGTAAGGTTTTATTCTGGTAAGCTTCCTTACAAAGCAGGCCTGCCTCACAGTCTCCACTCTAATTCATCTCAAAGGTGTTGTATCAGGTTCAGGTCAGGTCAGTGCAGACCAGTCAAGTTCTTCCACACCAAACTCACTCATCCATATCTTTATGGACTTTATGATGTAATGCTTAGATGCAGCTGCTCAGCCATGGAAACCCACTCCACACATTTTTCTGGAGCTAATCTAAACGCCACATGAAGTTTGGATGTCTGAAGCGGTAAATTCTGGCGAGTTGGCAAACCAAGAGCAAAATATGGCCAAGCACCCACTGCCCTGCTCTCTGATGACGAAGCCTACCACTTCGTGGTTGAGATGCAGTTGTTCCGGATCGCTTCCACTTTGTTGTAATACCACTAACAGCTAACTGTAGAACATTTAGTAGCGAGGAAATTTCCTGACTGGACTTGTTGCACAGGTAGCGTCCTATTATGGTAGCACACTGGAATTCACTGAGCTCCTGTGAGTGATGTATTCTTTCACGAATGTTTGTAGAAGCAGTCTGCGTGCCCCGGTGCTTGATTTAATACACCTGTCACCATGGAAGCAACTGAAACACCTGGATTCACTACACCTCTCAGTGTGTACTTTTGTGCATTGTATGTAAAAATCTACACCATTAGAAGTACATGGTGTGATTGGACCCTTCTTTCTTAACAAAGCCTACTACTTTGATAGACTGGGGGGAAATGAGATCCCAGAAATGTCTTTATTAAAAGCACCAAGTTCTACCAAACACAGCAGACTTCCACAAACAAACACTGGTACGATGGAATCTACTGTGTGTTCCAAGTTGTCATCACACAGAAGATAAACTGGAATAATAAGGACATCATGTTCAAGAGTCGGTCCTTGTTCTGCAAAGTGTGGTTTGAGAGAATATATGGTCTGCTTTAATAGATGCTAGTGATTATTAGATTATGAACAACTCTCCTAAACACACTTTAAATCCTTCAAAATCATATTTCACTGACGCACTACACAAATAATTTGCATTTCTAACAAAAATATAACAGCAAATCAACATCTAGGCCTACAGTGTCAATCCAAAGGATGTCAAGAAATCTAAGAAAAATTTTTCTTAAAGAAACTGTTTCCTGAAAGGCAAAACAGGAATATCATCTTACACCAAATTTATAAAAATTGAGCTGACACGGTTTGAACAATATATCTAAAATGTCCTTCTGAAGCAAAAAAGAAAAACACAGCTCATTCTGTGCATTTCAATTGGAACTGCAGACCATATACTCTCCCTTTGTTATGTAATACAGACATTCTGGTTTGATGAAGATGATGATGATGATGATGAATGGATTAAAACAAAAGACAGACAAAGTTTTCAGTGGGAGAAAAGTTTCCTCACTTATCCAGGTGACTTGTTCAGTCTGTGTGCTGCACTGTAATGACTACGGAGCAATTAAAAAGGAGGGGCGGGTTAGCGCGCAGCGCAGCCAGCACAGCCACGTGAATGGCCCTACACGCTACAACCTACGCAACCCACGACCCCCCCTCACTCACACTTTACATGTTGAGTGATGTGTTGTATGAGACAGTGGGGAGAGGGAGGGCCGGCAGGTAGAAGACTATCCCTGGAAGGAGAAAGCCAGCAAACAACCGGCACATAACCCAACAAAGTGAATTCAGGGCCCACAGTGACAACGCCCCGGAGCACCACCGAGTCCACGCAGCAAGTTGAGCAGTAATATGCAGATGGGTGGGAGTTTGAGTTTAATGTTTGATTATTTAATGTTTATTTAATTAATTTAATGTTTTGTGTTCTTCTTCCACAACTTATGAATCCGTCGCTGCACACCGATTTCTAAGGTAAAGATGAAGTTGCTCTACTAGGTTTGTAACATTTGCTGCACTCTACACAATGATAATGAACACATTAACAAAACAAACGATCTGAAGATGTTGAAATAGTATATGGATGGTCTTAACCTGTATGACACCCTTCCCAAGCAAACCAGCAGCTTATAATAGTTGACTGAGAAAATGTTTTTGCATACCGATGTATTATGTCAAGATCTCCATCGAAATCCAAGAGCGGCTCTACTTTTCTGTCCTCTCCATCAGGCTCTTCAGTGGCTTGTTTGACTGTTTGGCTGGTTTCACTTTCATGTTTTAAGGCACTCCCTGGCTCGTCACATCTTTCTGCCAGGATCACGAACCTAGACACGAAGACTGAAAAGTACACAAGTATACATACTGAAAAAACACGTATTCAGTACAAGTTTAACAATCAGATGATTTGCATTTTGACATGTTTTGAATTTTAATTTTCAAATGACAATTTTGACATTTTATTTCGCTCAGGTCTTCATCTTAGCAGCTTCGATCAATTACCAAGTACAAAACTGTCACAAACAAGTGAGTAATGCTTTACCTTTTTGTCATTTAAAACATGTACATACTATAATTATATTAAAAACACTGATTTGGTCATTGTCACGTTGTGGACAACAGATTCTGTACACAGCAGCAAAAATAAAGCACAATGAACAGTGAACTGCACTGAGGACGGGCAGTTTGACTAAAACCACTCCAAACACTTTCATAATAGTTGTCATGTTTTCTGTTTGTGATTGTTTTTCACTAATTATAAAAAATCAGAATGAGCTGAAACTTCTGGGAGAACAAAAACAGTTTAAGAGGAAACGTATTCTTAGTCACAACAACCTACAGCTTCAGTATTATGACGCTGTTATACACACCAGGTTGACCAACGTTGTTGAGGTGTGTCATAAGGTGGCGTCCACCGGGGCGGAGCATGTGAACATCTGACAGCACAGTCTCATGTTGGAAACTGATTTCCTGCATGGATGATCAAATCTAATGCTGGAAGATCAGTCACCTGCTCACCTGAAAGAAGCGCGAGTTTAGAGACAAAGCAGGGTTAACAGGCTCTGGTTAACTCGGACAGGGAAACTGAGCCGAGCCCAGAGCAGCCGTTCAAACCTAATCAAATGTAGCTGGCATGCTCACGGCAGCCGAGGGCGGACACTACTGACAGGCAGCTTTCTCACAGAGTGAACAGAACCAGAGAGACTGAGGTTCAAACTTAATGCTTTGCATTGACAGTATTAACGCTTATACGTCATCCAGCAGCGGCACATGACTGCTGAGGTGGAGGGGACCAGGCCACGCTGCCCACGGTCACACTGGGAAAGATGGAGATCACGTAAAGAAACGTGATGCCGAGGCCTGCCGATGACTACAAACGGGCATAACATCAGGACGTCACGTACAGCAGCTGTTGAGAGGCGAGCTCAACCCGAGAACTGGACCCCTGCTGTCTGGACACGGCACTTCTAAAATACATTTACTTTATTTATTTTTTAAAAAATGGGGAGGGGTGACGTTAACTCACCAGCAGCGACGCTGTGCTAAACGGCCACGACAGTTGACCCGGATGGAAACCCTCCCCCCGCGCCTGTAGCGCCATCTGCTGTTTCTATACCGTCGTTTCTGTTTGTGCGTGTAAAATAATTGTTGCAAGCACAAATGTCGCATTTTGAGGGGAAAATTATTTTGAGCAAACAAAACTCATTACTGCGTCCAAGAAATGCCTTTCAGTGTTTGCTATGATTCACACACACACACACACACACACACAGAGCCCCTGTCACTCAGTCGTTGGCGTTTGTTCTTGCTCAGATCTCTGCAGACCTGCTCTCAGTGTGTCGCTCCCTCTCTTTAAACACAGGCACAATAATAACAAGCTGGCTTTAAATTATTACAACCAACTACTGAAGCAACCTAAGGGATATATACAAAACAAAAAAGAAACAAAAATCTAAAAGGCAATGCGACTCTTTACTCAGTAGAAGAGCTGACATGGCACAGTAGCTATAAGTGTTTTTGTGCGAGTGTGTCAGAGACAGAGCAAGCGTGTCTATGTGACCAAATTATTTATTAAGCTTTAATTGGACCCACACTTTGCTGCAGACGTCATCGTTTCAATTCATGTCATCACCGAGGAATAAGTTCAGGAATCCAGTGGAAACAAAATGAAGCATACACATGGACGGGAAGGTTACACATATAGGTCAGCACTAACTACCAAATGATCGAATGTTAGATTGCATGAATGAAGTCATTTGTCTTCTAGCAGTTTTCCTGTTTAAGGGCTTTTATATGTTGTGTCTAACTTGTCTTCAGAAGAATTCAGTCGTAGCTTAAAGATAATTCAAAGACAGCATATTTCTAATGTTTTTCTTAGCATTTCATTAAAATGAGCAATTTTAGAATTACTGGGCCAAAATTACTAAATTGAAGTTTGAGTATAATTCTCTGCTTAGCAAACAAGTTTGCCTTCAAATCACTAAGTGTAAGCAAACTTTTTTTGAATTGGGTGATAAGCCTCATATGTTACTTGCAAGATTACTTAGAAAAACACAAGCATCACAAACGATACTATCGATCAGTAACAAACATGGGCGGACCACTAGAAACCCCCAAGAAATAAACAAGTGTTTTGAAGATTTTTATCGTGATCTTTATAGTAGGGGTGCAACGATATTCGTATCGATATTGAACCGTTCGATACAGTGCTTTCGGTTCGGTACGCATATGTATCGAACAATACAACATTTGTAATTTATTTTATCAACTTTCCTTCTGACGATGCTGTCTGTGTTGAGCGCTCAGTGAATCTGCGTT